CCCATTTTCCTAAATACCAACCCAAGTACCAAAATCCACCTTTTTGACACAACATGAACATATTTTCAACCTCCATATTCATCAAAAACCCCTCTTTTTCACTTCACTCCCAAACCCTAGGTTTGATCAAACTACTCACAAATCCCACCATTGTTACACAATAACAAATAACTAAGCTAAAAACAATATGAGAGTGTAGAAAACCCCCTACCTCAAAGGAAGAAGATGAGCCAAGCAAGAGTGTGAGACTCCAAGAATGATGAAACCCACTTTTAATCGAATCAAAATGAAGATCTTGATGCACTGTTCCTTTTTCTCAAAGGCACTAGGATAGAAATCCCAACGGATCTACATGAAATCTTAAAGAGAATGTGAGTTTTAGAGAAAGAATGTGTAGCTCTAGGTTTTTTGGAAGTTTTAGAGAGAAAGAGAGAAGAAAAAGTGATTCAAAATGATATCTTCACGGACTAATATACACGCAGTCCGCTCGAGCGTGGAAAGTGAAGCTCGAATGTTAGACACAAAGGTCTACTTGAGCGCAAGAAGTGAAGCTCGAGCGCAGAATACACAATTCCAGAAGTTTTACAGATAAAGGACCCCGCTCAAGCGTAAGAATGGGCGCTCGAGCGTCCAATGCACCCTCCCAGTATTTGCAGAACTGCAAAAATACTTAAAATTAGTGAATCCCGCTCGAGCGCAAAAATGGTTGCTCAAGTGGAGGAGCAAATTTTAAAGTCTGCTCGAGCGCAAGAATTCCCACTCGAGCAAAGGAGCCAAAATCTGGGCAACAAAGGTTTGGAAAAACAAGCAACCAACCTATTTCAAACGCACAACTACAACACAATAACCAAAATGTGGGGGAAGTAAGGAAAACAAGATATGAATAACTACTCTAAATCATGCCAACCCGAGTCTGGGATACAATAGATAACGGGTCAAAATTGGAATCGCTATAAAAAATTATGTATTAATTATTTTTTATAACAGATCTTTTTGATATTTAATTTTGGGAATTCATGTGTTTTGGATTTGTGGTGTGCCTTGTGTCACTCTGTTATAAAAATTATGAATGATAAATTTATAATATGCTTAAAGAATCATTGTGATTACCTTACAAATATTGTGTCATGTTATGAATAATGTATAAATATTAGAAACAATTTATGAATTTGTCAGAAAAATATTTTGTTCCGCGAAGGTTAACATTTTGTTTGGCTTGAATGATTTGGAGAGGGAAAAAAATAAAATGGAGAGAAATGAATTTTAGACCTCGTTTGAGAACAGGTTATTTTAGTAACTTTTTAACTAATATGTAAGGAAAAAAAAAACCTAATTGTTTGAAATAAATTTTTTTAATTTTTTACGAAAAGATGTGAAATAAAATAAAATAAATAATGAGAAGTGAGTAAAATGATCGAAATGGCCTTATAGAATTTCAGAGTACCTGTGGATGCGTCAGTGGCCTCTGCAAATTGTTGGATGTGAAGTTTCCTTTCTTGGACAACGCACTTGGACATAAAGCCTATACAAATAGGGTTGTGTGCTGTAATGTTATTTACATAATACAATATATTTAAAAATTAAGCTATAACGGTCAAATTTTATTTCTTTTACAGAATTCTACACGCACATATTTGTAAACAACATACTTGTGTCATGTAATATTATGTAAATAATATTTACGTTAATATACATAAATATTTTATATATATGGGATATGGATTGTACTTTGTGTATTGTAATAATTTTTTTTATGACGTTAAAAATAAAAAAATTTTAAAAAAATTCTAAAAATCCAACAAATTATGGGAGTGTTTGGGAACTTGGCTTTTCAGTTTTTTTATTTTTTAATTTTTTCAGTACAACACAAATGTCTTACAAAATCCAAAAAAACTAATCCCTCACAAAATATCACATCAAATTCCATAGTTATTTCAATTTTTCTCTCACAAACATCATATCTAACCAACAAAAAAAAACCCAACTATTTTCCCAAACACAAAGGGTCTGCTTGGTGTGCCGTTTGGTAACACTTACGTTTTCAGTTTTCTGTTTATATTTACAAAAATTTAAACAATTCAAATATAAACTTGTTTGGTAAATCTGTGTTACATAAATCAGTGGTCTCTGGTTATAAATTTGGCCACAAAATGTAAACTTAAAAAATATGTATTCGTTTTGAGTTTTGAATTTTTCTTTTTTTTACCACCCAACACTAGCCACCACCCGCCACCATTTTCCATCACCGTCTTTCGCCACCACCACCCACCACCCATCCCTCACCACCACCTGCCACCACCACCCACTACTTGCCACTACCACCCACCTGCACCCACTACCGCCTGCCACCAACCACCCACCGGCCACCCACAACACCGCCACCCACCACCACCTGCCGCCACCACCCACTTACTAGCACCCATCACCCGCCACCGTCACCCACACCCGCCACCACAACCGCCACCTACCACCACCTAACCACACCCCACCTGCCACTCATACCACCTACACCTACCCACCACCACTGCCACTCACCACCACCCACCACCACCACCACCTTGCTACACCACCACCCGCCACCGCTCACCACCCACCACCCGCCACCTACCCGCCACTACCCACCACCCACTACCACTCACCACCCACCTGCCACACCACCACCTACCACCCGGCACACCACCACCCACTCGCCACCACCCACCACCTGCCACCGTCACCCACCCACCAGCATCACCACCTGCGACCTACCGCGCACCACTACCACCACTACCATCACCACCATCACCCACCACCCACTGCCACCCACCTGCCACCACCACCACTCCCTACCCACCCACAAAACCCATCACCGTCACTGTCACCCACCCACCACTCACCACCACCACCCACCCGCCACCACTCACCACCACCCGCTATCCGCCATCCGCCACCCCCCACCCTCCACCACCACCACCCACTCGCTACCACCCATCACCCGCCACCGTCACCCAACCACCCACCACCACCCGCTACCCACCACCCACAGTCACCACTTTCCACTACCTTCTTTTGCCGCCACTTGCCACCCACTTGCCATTTCTCACACTTTATATTTTTAAGATGTTGTAAACATTTTGTCAATTATCAAACGCGTTTGTCATGAATGTTTTTCTAAAAATAAACAAAAACCAGTTTATAAATTGTTTTGTAAATATAAACTGAAAACGTAAACGTTACCAAACAGACATCCATGCCGTTTTCAGTTTATATTTAAAAAAAATTAGCAAACTGTCATAAAAATTTGTTTGATAATTTTTTTGGTTCGAAATGAGTTTAAAAATTTGACAAAAAACGTAAACTGAAAAAATGAGGAAACGTTTTCAATTTTCAATTTTTTTTCAATTAATTTTGTTTTGTGGATAATTTATTTTGAATTTTTTTTCAAGTAATGTTTTTCTCAAATAAATTTATTTTCAATTTTTTTTCAAATAATTTTTTTTCCAATTAACCTTTTTTATCAAATATTTTTTTTCCCAACTAATATTTTAAAATTATTTTTTAATTAATTTTTTCCATTTCTTTTTCAAATAAGTTTTCCGAATTAGTTTTTTTCCCAATTATTTTTGTCCAATGAAATTTTTTATTCAATTATTTTTTTAATTACTTTTTTGTCAATTATAATGTGTGTGATCCCATTGTCATAAATAATGAAAATAAATATAAAAATATTTGAAAAAAAATAAGCAACCTGATTGCTAACCACTTATAATTGATTGCTATAAAAATCTAAAAATATAACCAACCTAATCGTAAACGTTATCAAAAAAATGAAATGATAAACATGACCCAATAACATATATGTTACCAAAAAAAATTAAGTAATAATCAAACCGTAATTAGTAAGCAACCTGAAATCATAACCAACCTAAAATCATAACGAAGTCAGTATTCGATAATTGTACAAAAACAGTGACATAGATGGTCATACATAATTGCTAACCAATTATGTATGTAAATAAAAGTCTCCAATTAATTTCAACACAACATAGTGATGCCATGCATGACATAAGATGTCCACCTAACCAGCATTTCACCAAATTGCAACCAACTCTGCCCTGATACGCGCCCGCAACTGCGCCATCTCAACGTCATCATCTCCAGGCATCATCAAGGGCAGCCAAATCGTCCCGGTCACGCATGTCTAGATATCGATACTCGGGCGCATTGCTGACAGCAACAATAATCTTATCGTCCACACTATTCCTGTATATGAAATTATGCAAAGCCATGGACGCTGCAACCAATGGCACCTGCACTTTACGGAAATCAAATCGAGGCATGTCTTTTAGAAATCCCCACATCATCTTCCATGCGCCAAATGTACGCTCAATCACACTTCGCAAAGATGAGTGAACGCGGTTGAATAATTCATCACGGTTCCGTGGATTGTGCCCTTGAAAGTCCGATTGGTGGTATCTGTTGCCTTTGTATGGTGCCAGAAAGCCCTTCTTATTATTGTATCCACTATCCACAAGGTAATAGCGACCTGTGAAAGTGCACATGTAAATTACATAAGACTCGTCATCAATGTTCACATGAAAGGGCACTTCCACCGTACATTTTTCTTTTACAAAACCCATAACCAACAAGAACATAACAATACTAGTTTATCATGGACATTGTAAAAATTGCCATATATAAATTACCACATGGTAAGATGAATCAAATATTGTTTTTCATTACAATGGTAACATAAATCGAATTTATAATGGGAATATAGTGATATAAAATAAATTGATACATTTTGACATATATATTACTAAGGTTAATTATATTTGCATATAATGATGGATATTACCTTTATGTTGAGCTTGTTTGAGCAAATTTTCATACAAAAAAAATTCTCGATCATGCATTGAATTCTAAATATTAGTATCTTTAGTTCGTTATTTACGTATAGATGTTTACCAAAAAAGAATTATGCAAAATTGTATTGTGGATTCAGATGCACGTACCGTCAGTTGCAGTTGGAAAATTGTATTGTGGATCCACCGTTACGTTGCTTAAAACCTGGCTGTCGTGCATGCTGCCCTCCCACCCGCACGACACAAACACAAAGCACATATTGAAATCACATACCGCCAAAATATTCTGGGTGTGACACCCCTTTCGGCTGAAATATGGGGCTACTTCTGACTCCTTTATGCATGCCGGTACATGTGTCCCATCCAATGCACCTAAGCAATCCTATATATGAACTGAAAATTTTGCAATTATAAAATAGTACCGACCATGTTTTTTCAAATAATTTTGAATAACATTACAAAATCTTTTCGCACACCTTGAACGACATATATTGTCGTTGAGATTGAAAAATAGGATCCCTGTGCGTCTGGAAATTAGCAGGGGGCCTGCAGTGAACGACAGTGAATTTTTTCATTGCTTTCAAGACGGTATGAAAATGCCGTGAAATAGTTTCACCAGAATGTTGGAAGCGTTCTTGTAACTCCCGATTTGGCAAGTTTTTAAGCACATGAATAAATATTGCAACACTCTCCTCGACGTGCAAGCCGTGCGGCCGCTCGGGTACACGCAACCCGAAGTCATTTACCAACGTCGTACATAACCGAATGAACACCTGTTTGGGCATGCACAATTCGTCCCGGAAGCGGCCATTGTGACCCTCGAATAATTCCGTAATCCATGCCCTCCCCGACAATATGGAAGTACGGCATGGAACTTTAAGGACGTACGCCTTGTAGTAATCAGTTGCAATTCTGTAGGCTTCAACATAATTTAAATTCATCTGATGATGCCACTGTCTTGCGAGAGCTGCGACATCCTCTAACATTTCATCCATCCGTGCGGGGTCGTCATTGTCATTGTTCATACCTACAACATACACGCATAAAACATTATCAACAACTGCCGAAATGAAGAAGTATTAAGCACATGTATTTGATCACGAAAGTTTTTAAATAGAAAATAACATTGTACAGCAAAAGGAAGTAACTAGTGTATATTTATGTTCATCATGGCTGCCATGCATGGCATAAAGAACAAGCTGAAAAAAATAAATTGATTTGTTAACTTTTATAAAATTAAAAACACATGTAATATTTTGTAATTTAAAATTGAAACGAACATGGGATTTTCCTAATTCACATCATGTCAGTGGTTCATCATTTGTAATAAAAATAATTATTTTTCTGTGTTGCAACACACATGTTCCAGCCGATATAAACAATTCGAGCAACTTATATAAACAATTCAGGCAACACACACGTTCTACCCTATATAAACAATTGGTGGAAAACCAATGACACCTGGGCAAACATAACTATTTTCAAAAAAGTAAACACAACCCTGCAGCCATTATAGCATAACAAAACATAAAATATAAAATATAAAATGGATGGTCCAAGGTTTAATCCAACCCTGCAGCCATTATAGCATAACAAAACATAAAATACCACAAACATATCCTGATTGTCCAGTTAAGGTTCCGTACGCCACAAGCATAACCCATGCCCAAACCATCTTCAAACCACAATTCAACTAAATAAACACAACAAAGGAAAAAAAAAGATCAGAATTCAACTGAAATTAAAATCAAAGTCCTTCATTCAACAGATTTAAAATCGAACTCCTTCATTCCGCAGCAAACTCGCAAGAGTGACACCCACATTCCTATCTTTGTCTTGTTTCTTCGCTTGTAGCCACCCGATAATGCCTCGGTCTATGGGAATACTCATTACCATTTCCCGATTGTTCAGAACCTCCATAAGGATGACACCAAAATAGAGAAGTTCATCTTCAAGCTCTAGTCCCTGTATTTCATACAGCCGTCCAACAGCCTGTCCTATAGTAATACTATGGCCCCCGACGACGTGGTTGACAGTTAATTCCTTGCTCTGAGTCTTCACAGAATTTAGCAACTCGTCCACGCTGCAGCCCCCGTAATGCGCTTGTTTTGCCCTGTTTCCCCGAGGAATGCTTCCGCTTACTTCCACTACCCGTGGCATTGATGTGCGCGAAGTTCATCATGGCCGCCATTTCCGATGCACCTAATTCATTGCTGTCACATGAAAATTATGGACTGTACGACTCTCCATCCAACTCCATTGGGTTACAAGTCTCACCGGGTGTCCATGCATTTTTTCCCATAGCCGCAGCGCCAGTGAAGACGTGCTCCATCAAATCCGGATGGTCCAAGGTTTTGGTTCTGAACTTGCAACATACATTGTCAATCTTTAAATCAACATAATGTAACTAGCATTAGCGTACTGTAATTGAGTAAAACTCAGAAAAGTTTTTAATGCTAAAACAATGGCTAACAGTAATGTATAAAATGTTGCAGTGAACATATTGACAAAAAAGAACCAGAATGTTGTAAAGTATGATGATTGCTGCCAATCAAGGAAAAAGAACCAGAATTTGAAGCTGTCACACAGTTTTGCTAGTTGCCAATTGAATGAATAAACATGTCACACCCAATCCAATAAGTAGTAGCTAATTAGTTCTCAAAACCAACCCATATTTCTCACTCGTCAAACTGCCCAAAAATTCAAATATGCATGTGCAACACCCCCCCCGGCTACTATTTTTGTAAAAGCACTGCATGCAAAACATAATAGGAAAAGAACTTTGTTCAATAGACTACCCAGTACCACAATGTTAACACTTATAAGAAAGATCAATGCATTACGAATCTGGAAAACAAGAGTAGGTAAATTAGGTCATACTGTTATAGAATTGTGTGCTAGAAATAAATGGTTTTTGTTATACAAGAAGTCATTATGTGTCGGGTCTTCAACCTACTTCATACGGAAAGTGAACTAAGACCACTTTATTGATGTTTTCCAACTATTTACAGAGAAAAAAAAAATATTGGTGCATGAGGAATAGCATACAGAGAATAGTGGCATCAAACCACACCAACAAACCTAGGCCAACTCTTTACAAATTGAAATCTGAAGAGAAAAGGTGGAAATAAACCACACTAACAAAACTAGGACCAACGGCCTTTCCGAACTCCATAATTTTAAAATTAACACAAACTTCCAATGTTAGGCCTGTCAAATGAGATTGGATGATATTGCCACGCTTCAAAAAACAAAACTACTAACATTAACATTTGATTTCATTTCAGAATTCATTTCAATCCAGAATTTCAGATTTCATTTGATTTCAGAATTCTTTTTCAGAAACAAGAATTTTTCACTGGCTTCAAATGTATGTCAGAAAGACAAGAAAAGGCTGATAGAAGGTAGGCATGTCAACATAAAATTAACACTTATAAGAAAGATCAATGCATTACGAATCTGGAAAATAAGAGCAGGTAAATTAGGTCATACTATTACAGAATTGTGTGCCAGAAATAAATGGTTTTTGTTATACAAGAAGTCATTATGTGTCGGGTCTTCAACCTACTTCACACGGAAAGTGAGCTAAGACCACTTTATTGATGTTTTCCAACTATTTACAGAGAAAAAAAAAATATTGGTGCATGAGGAACAGCATACAGAGAATAGTGGCATCAAACCACACCAACAAACCTAGGCCAACTCTTTACAAATTGAAATCTGAAGAGAAAATGTGGAAATAAACCACACTAACAAAACTAGGACCAACGGCCTTTCTGAACTCCATAATTTTAAAATTAACACAAACTTCCAACGTTAGGCCTGTCAAATGAGACTGGATGATATTGCCACACTTCAAAAAACAAAACTACTAACATTAACATTTGATTTCATTTCAGAATTCATTTCAATCCAGAATTTCAGATTTCATTTGATTTCAGAATTCTTTTTCAGAAACAAGAATTTTTCACTGGCTTCAAATATATGTCAGAAAGACAAGAAAAGGCTGATAGAAGGTAGGCATGTCAACATAAAACAAACAATTAATAGATAGAATTCATAACAAACATAATTCAGAATTTCAAAATTCTTTTCATTTCAGAAGGCTGATAGATGGTCCAAGGATTTAATTCCAGAATTTCAGAATTCATTTCAAATTCAGAATTTCAGATTTCATTTGATTTCAGAATTTCAGAATTTCATTAACATTAACGAACATAATTTCATTTCAGAAATTCAGAAAAACAAGAAATTATACTACTAGACTGAAATATGCTTCAGAATTACTATTAAATATTCTTCAGAATTGTTTTTCAGAAACAAGAATTTTCCACTGGCTTCACATATGCTTCAGAAAAACAAGAAAAGGCTGATAGAAGGTAGGCATGTCAACATAAAACAAACAATTGACAGACAGAATTCATAACAAACATAATTCAGAATTTCAGAATTCATTTCAATTCAGAATTTTAGAATTCATTTCAATTCAGAATTTTAGATTTCATTTGATTTCAGAATTTCAGAATTTCATTAACATTAACAAACATAATTTCATTTCAGAAATTCAGAATTCCAGAATTTTGTGCTGAGATAGGTGGGTACATTGTATGGGGCTGAAAAAGAAGTTAGAACGAAACACTTTACACAAGTGTACATTACAAATAAAAGCTGTTCATATATTTTCACCATCCCAAAAATATTTCGTAATCCAAACCACAGCATCCCATGTTAGGTAAAGTTAGAAAATTGAATGTTTCAAACTACACTGGAAAGCATGATACACATACAAAAATTGAGATATTAGTTATGCAATAATGGACACGAAAAAGAAAATATAAACCATTACCTTTTCCATTTTAGCCCACCAATCAGCCGAAGCATTGAACAGCCCAGTAACTTGGTCAAAGCCAATTCCAGTTGGGCTTTTTCGGCAATCCATTAGCTTACACCACGCACGCCACTCGGTCTTCAATAGCATATACTTGTTTTTAAGTTGTTTGAGGGAATGCAGCCGCCTAGTTACTGCCTCAAATGTCTTAGACAACGAACGGTACCCGTTTGGAGTGATTGACATGTGTGGCCAGTTTCCTGCCTCAATTTCCTTCACAACCAGTTCCAAGAAAATCCGTGTCGACTCCCCATCCCAAATTGCTTTGCCGGAAGGGGTACGAGGCGTAGATCGATGTGACGCCATGCAACTAACAATAGCGTGAAACGGGAACCAACATAAAAATATTTATACACTCACAATTGTGCGTATTACCAATATGAGGAACACATTTTTTTGTCAGAAATGTGGTATTTGACAGAAAACATAGCCTAATAGATTCATTTAGAGACATTAGTACTTGAAACAAAAACAAACAGTAGCGGAATTAGATGGAAAATACATGTTTACGAACAAAACATACTTTCATAATTATTTTTCAGCCACAAACCATAATGCGCTTAACAAAATTAGGGTACAGTTGCTACCATGGTTACATATATCACATCCGAAATAGCAAAATAATGACGACGATGCACAGGACACATGTCACTATTGTAAGCACACGCAGAGTTTGTTCAATGCCACGGAAACGACCCTCAAAACGAGCAACATTCTCTGTGTCATTTTCAGCTGCCCTTTGGCGCCTAAATTCGTCACACCACCCAATCCAACTGACACATGGCTGAGGTTAAAAAAGAAATTAGTGACGGTTTAAGAAGGAAATGTAAAAGGAAACGTGCTTGTACTCACCACTCCACGAGGGCATTGGTAGTACGCACGACCAGGGTTTCTTGCAGAACGGGAAATCTTTACAACACAGTGCCCGTACCCACACGCACACATACGGGCTGGTTGTGCTGATGTGGCAGTTGACATAAATGAGGCCATGGTTTCTTTCGTGACATTTTTAGGGACATGACAAACACAACAACACTAGGTCAATGGGTGTGACACTTTTGTTAAGGACATAAATTTGTTATACGAAAATGGGTAACAAAATGGAACAACCCCCCTCCACATCACATTTAAATCCCCAAATACCACATATTTAAAAAATTATAACAAAATAATATCAAAACAAAATACATTTCGGATGCTCCTTGAAGATTGACAGTGTATAAAAATATATAAAAGATAATTGTGAAAACAAAATACACACCAAATAAAACAGTGGGTTTGATTATGTCACTTTCTTTCTCAAACAGAAAAAAGTAAAGCCATGCAACCTTAGCAGAAGACCCAACACTTAACAAAGAGCAAATTAAAAAAAAATTAAAAAGTAATAGCTTTGTTATGAAAATAAACTATGGCATAGATATAAAAATAAAGTTTACAAGTGCAAGTGGTGAGACAAATTGAAAACGGAAAAGGAAAATGGTGAGACAAATTTGTTTAGGGGAGACAGATAACAAAGAGCAAACGAAAAGGAAATTTTTTTTAGAAGACAAATTGAAATTGGCAAGTGGTGAGACACACACACACACACACACACACACACACATAGACAGAGTTCATCCATATACAAAAAACAGAGCATACAAGTCATGGTTATCAGATCCACACCCCCCCCCCACCACCAAAAGCCCTAAAACCTCAAACATGGCAGTATGTAGGGGAGTTCCTGAAAATATTGCCCAAATCTGAATTCCACCGACAGATTAAAATATAGAAGCGGTCAGACAAAGCGCGAGACACACACACACAGACACAGCACGAGAGAGAGAGAGAGATAGAGTTCATACATATATCACAAACAGACCATACGAGTCATGGTTACATTCCGAAACAGAAACAAGAGATGCTGAAGAGAGAGAGAGAGAGAGAGAGCAAAGAAGAGCATACCTGCAGTTGGGGGGATCGTCGGGGGATGGGCTGCTTCTCCGTTAGCCTTCGCAGACTGTTGTCCTCACTTCTTTTTTCTTTCTCTTCAGATCAGAGCTTCCTTTTTCTTTTGGCATTGAACGAAGAACCCTCTTCATCTTGATGTAACTGAATAGTTGCAGATAGTACACCCTCTGTGATAATAGCTCTGAAATGATTCCCATCAGTGTTTGACATAAAGGAAGGGTGAAAACGGAATAACGAAAATCAAGGAGGGGCAAAATGGTCTTTTTACACCGCATCTGCCACCCATCACGTGACGATACTGTACATAGGTGTGTAGGGTGAAATTTATAGACTTTTTGGCTTTTTTAGTAACTTTTTGGCTTTTTGGCTAAAAATGTGGGTTGTCAAACGAGGCCTCAATCACTTGTTTGGAGAGAAATATGAAGAAATTGAGAGAAATACGTTTATCTCATATAATTTTTATTTTCAGGCTTCATTTGGGAACTAAGTACTTTAGCCAAAAAGTCAAAAAGTCACTATAAGTTGTCACATCATTCTCTCTACTTTTCTGCACATCTTTTCATAAAAAATAAAAAAAATTGCTAAAATAACATGTTCCCAAACAAGGCTAGTCTCTTCAAAAGTAGAAAGATTATGAGAGAAATGAAACTAGTTAAATATTATTTTGTTATTGTCACGACCCAAACTCGCCCCTACAGGTTTAGCATCGTAACCGACCAGTGATCCTTGGATTACCGAAGGCCTCTGACCTGAATAACAAAATATAAGGGGCTAGCGAAAACAAATATAAAATATACATAGTTCATTAAGCTATAGACATACATGGGACAGAAATTTCAAAAAAGCTTTATATACATAGGTGTGACGTCATAATTGCAGTAATCCACGTCACATTTATTACAAATATAACAAAAGGGAACTTAGCCCAATATACACATAAATGGAAAACTTGTTCATATTCCAAAAGAAAACAAAGTCTCAAACATGTGTGACACAAAAGAAAACCTCATCGGGAGGCACAATAGCTGGCTGACACGACTGAGACCCCAGGTCATCAACTCTGAGCCTGGTCACGCGCCTGGTCACCTACATACATATTATAAATAATGAGCGAGATCCAGTGAATAATAACAAAGTAAAGGTTCTAATGAATGATGACCATAACAGATTTAGATTTCAAATCTCTTATCAAACCAGAAACATAGGCATGTTCGTATTCGTATCAGAAACAGAGTCATAGTCATATTCATATTCAAATCATGAGTGGTACATCCATTAGCATTAACATATCTCTTTGGTCAAGCATATCAAGTTCCCTAATAGAACCTTCGGTACCGAGTAACATATATCATACATGGGCTACGGTATTGTTTCCCCTGGGTGAGGGCCTAGGCCATGGTATTGTTTTCCCCGAGTGAGGGCCTCATGACCATAAGCCACAATATTATTTCTTCTAGGCGAGGGCCTTTGCTAAGGATTCCACATAGACATTTCAAAGTATTGGATCATCATTCATGTAATCACAAAATCACCTTTGAATCATTCAGAAACAGTGCATATCATATCATATTGTTCAGAAAGTATTTCATGTCAAATATAGCTTCATTAAGTTATTACTCACAAAGAGTTGCACAGATAGCAGTGATAGCAACCAATGGATCAATAGCTCATGGCGCGTGACCTACACAAACATAACAGATCCATATAGTGAAACACACGCTCGGATCGTACATGACTTATTTCATATCGTTCTTAGTGTGTTTCTAAGTTTTATCCTCACTATTGTATCTTAATCATGGTCTAAGAATGCCTAGGATGCAATGAGGATGCCAAAACATATTGTTCAACACTTAAGGTAAATTTGTTGAAAATAGGGTCCTCGCTCAAGCATAGCTTCCTTCGCTTGACCAGAGGTCAAAAGAATGTGAGTGGTTGCTCGAGCACAACTTCCTTCGCTTGAGCAGTCTATAAACTCTACAAAAGTACTGGTTGTGTGATTTCTCTGCTCGACGGTCGCTCGAGCGTGAGACTAAGGTCTTCGCTAATGCGCAACTATTGTCGCTCGAGCGGTCTATAAAAATTACAAACTTCTAGGAGCATGCATTTTGCGCTCGAGCTAACTTTTGGTCACTCGAGTGGAAGTGCAAAAACACAGAGTAGCCGCTCGAGTGCAGGTTCTGTCGCTCGAGCAGAGAGGCAGAATTCTGGAATTTCCAAATTTGCTCCCAAGCTCAAAATTCGAATTCAAAGCCTTAGAATGCAACCTTTGGGCCCAAAACTTGAGAAAACATGTTTAAACTTGTAAAATATTGAGAATTCAAAATCATTTCGCAAAATCAAAGCCCAAAAACATGCCAGTAGTGTGAAATCAAACTTCTTGACTTCAAAGCTTCCAAATCATGATCAAATAAGGCAAATTGATGGAAAACATGATGAATTCTCAAAACTATTGAAAAATCTAGAAATCCCCTAGATATTGATTTGTCATTATGTATCAATTTTAACCAGTAAATAGCAATCCCAATCAAACAATCAAAGACAAATCGACATAACAATTTTACATGGAAAATCACAATTGGAGCACCTCTAATTATGATGAAAAAACCACGAGCAAAAGCCACAAAACAATCCACTACAAAGACATATAGGAATTACACAAGTGTACTCTCAATTACTTGGCGAATCCACGCCCAAATCGAACCGACCCCTACGTGCCTCTCCCACCACCATCTTCACCTCGGAATAGTTTTTCCTAACGTTGAATCCACAATGCCGATGTAGAATGCACGTCGATGAGCCATTCTGAAATCCACCAGCAATCCTATTCAAACAATGAAAGACAAATCGACACAACGATTTTATATGGAAAAAGCACAATTGGAGCACCTCTAATTGTGATAAATAAATAAAAAAAGAAATCATGGGCAAAAGCCACAAAATGATCCACTAAGAAGACATAAAAGGATTACTTAAATGTACTATCAATTACCTAGTGAATCCACGCCCGAATCGAACTGACCCCTATGTGCCTCTTCTAGCCCCATCTTCACCTCAGAATAGTCTTTCCCAACGTTGAATCCACAATGCTGATGTCGAATCCATGATGATGAGCCACTCCATAATCCACTAAAGCTTCAAGCCCAAATTCTCTGAAGCTCATCGAAGAATAACTCTCTCTTTTGTTTTGAATGAAACAAACATTCCTTTGATGTATATATCTCAAACCATGAGTTAAACACAAACAAACATCAAAGAAAACTAGCAAAAAAGCTCCATATAAAAACCCTAATACCCAAGAAGAAGATCTGGAAGTCATAACCTAAAAGCAGAGCAAACTACAGATTTATAGAAAACAGAATCACGTTCTCTGCTCGAGCGCAGGAATAGATGCTCAAGCGGACTGACTAAAACGCATGTTTCAGAAAACAGATCTACGCTCGAGCGCAAGAAGTGCCGCTCGAGTGCAAAAACACAACTCCCAGTACTTTTGCAGGCAGTTCAAACTTCTAGAACCAAGGATTCTCCACTCGAGCACACAAATGGCCGCTCGATCCCCGACATAGTCAACAAAGTGGCAATCATAAAAGAATTAACATCACAAACTCCTCTGCATAGGCACAATTCGGGTTGGATTCGTATCTAAAAACTCATAGCCTCACTGAAATAAAAACACGAATAAAATTACAACTTCAAGGAGTTTTGTCAAACGGGATTGGCAATAACAAAAAACTAACAACTATGGTAGACTTGGTATATGTATGTGAGAATTCTTAATAATTAAGCTCAAAATGGAAGAAAATATGCATGTATGTATGGTATGTTCTTCCTTCCTACCTCATTAGCTCAATTCTTGCATAACTCAACTTAATCCTCTTGAATTCATGGTCTAGACATCATAATTGTACAATCTAAGGGTTGAATTCTTAACTAGGCTTTCCACAGTGAGAGCTAGAGGCTTAATTCTTGAGTTTATATGTCCAATTCTTAGCAATTCCCTTAGCTTGAGCTTAACCTCTCCAAAATGAATTTAAGCTCACTCTTCTCACTTTTCCTCACGTTTGGAGCTTAAAGAGTATGAAATGAAGGTGTAAAATGAACTAATGGAGTCAAATTAGCCGTATATAGGCTCAATTAAGGATGCTTAATTAATGATTAATCAATTGACATTATTTATTCTAATTATTTGGTTCCGAAGCGAATTCAAATTGAACCTACCATAAACTTCTAAAAATTTCAATTAACACATAAACCAAGTCAATTTCGTGATCGGATGCCGATAAGGCCTTTAATTCATAGAATAGAACCAAACCATAGACAGATATTCCTACGCAAAACATATAGAAACTCATATAGCTCGTAACACATGCAATTAACTCAAGATGTCTTCTTAATTATTTATTAGGCATTCTTAATCAAAGATTATTAGCCAATTATGGGTCAGGGTTGTTACAGTTACAATACCAAAACTACCATTTTAGATATAGAACAAATAAAAAGACTAACACATATGACAAGTTAATTTAGTAAGAAAACATTATATTGTTTCTATTTTTTTTTTCTTTTCATATAGCTTAATCAAACAATGGGATTGTTTGTTATAGCTTTTGGGGTGATTTTAACTTATTTTAATTTCGGAGTCTGTGCCAGACTGTTTAGTACAACTTCTACTTATAGTTTATTAGGCAGAAATAACTTAAATAAACTGAAAAAACTTGATTATTTGGAAGCTAAGGTAGGAGTGCTTATAGCTTCTGCTTTCTGATTATCAACTTTAACTTACAAAAAAACTTCACCAAACAGGGCCAACATACGAGAGAAATTAATATCATTTTTTTTTTCCTTTCTTATCTACCCAAACAAAAAGTAAAAAAATTACAATTTTTTCTTTTTTCTCGTAACTTAACTAATCATTTGTTTTCTTTTCTCACATAAGTTACCAAACATAGTTGTAAATAGAGGTGTGTGCGGTGCAGTCCGAGCTGTTTAAGAGTAAAATTATAAAATAAATAGCAAATTGGCGGATAACCAAATCGTAGTTTGGGCAGTTTGGGACGATTAGCATATTGAAAAATATTCTTATCCAATTATCAAGTATTTGCATAATATATAACACTAATTTGCATAATATTTTTTATATATATAACACAAATTGATTTTACATAATATTTTTCATATATATAA